GATATGCTCGACACTATTCAGATGAAATAAACAATTTAGATAAAATAGTAGATAAGAAATTAACAACAGGTGTCAAAGCACTTTTAAAGCAAATTCAAGATAATAAATCAAAAAAGTCAACAGATATTGTGGAGAAAGAAAAACATTCCATCGGATAAGTCAAAAGACTCTACTTATCACCAGTGAGTTGCCTATATGCATTGCAAGCGTTTTTAACTTCTTTGACAGAGAAATATGAAGATGGAAAAGTTTTAGTATCCAAAGTTAGTGATCCTTCAAGATGTTTTATAAAATTTTAGTTCTGAATCCAAGAATACATTTTCAAGATCTTGTAAAAAAAGCAAGATCGGTAAGTTTAATTGTATATAATATTTTTAATTGATTTTATTTTATTGGTGTAATCTTTTAGGTGATTGTTGCTGGAGGAACTATGCAACCATTTGATGATTTTAGCTTGCAATTATTTGGAACAGAAGAAATAACTCGGGTGAATATATTTTCTTGTGGTCATGTTGTGCCAGAAGAAAGTCTTTGTCCAATTATAATGACAAAGGACCATCTGGAAAAGATCTCCTATTTAATTATTCAAATAGATGTAGTGCGGAATTGGAGTAAAATGCTGAAATATTATTTTATTTTAATATTTTTTGTCATTTTGTTGAGTCATACTTATAAATATAAAAATATTTGTACAGTGAGTATGAATGTGTGTGAGATCAAATGAAAGATTAAAATATGTGTCATTCAGCACATGTTCAGATTATAATTATTTACCAAGTAGACCGGCACAAACCACCTGTTGAATTTGTTCAAAAGTTTATGTCTGGTGATAATGATAAGTGTATTAAAAGCAATTTTTGTTTATTATGATTGATATCTTGTATAAAAGAATATTAGAATAATTAATATTCAATCTAATTCAGAATTGAAGCCATGGCATTGTTTATTATTTTATTTTTGTTTGTTTTTACCTCATTTAAACAAGATGCTTGCTGCATGATGATACAAGTTTAGCATCAAGACATATATATTGAATATTTTTGATAATTATGATATTTTCTTTGTCAAATTCGTTGAAATATTTCAAAATCAAACAAATTTCTCGACACACTAAACTAAAGACTAAAATATGGCGAAATTACATTTATTTAAATAATTTTTTATATAATGTATTCAGTCAATTGCAAAATTCACACAATATAGTTGCATTTTGTTATATCACAATATAATTATACTACATAAAAGTTTTTGGAATAGCTTTTTATTATATTTTTTTTAATTTGAACTACTGAACTATATAATTATTGTTCAGTAATTACGATTTAAAATAATGAGAAAAATATTTACTCTTGTACTGTTTTATCAACATTTTCATGCGAAATATAGCCTATTAAAAATTGTTAGTAATAGTGCATATTGCTCATAATTGTTAGTTCATAATGAAAAATTTGGCTTACACATTGTACTGTGACACTAAGTATGTTAATAATTTTTCTTTTCGGATTTTGTTTTGAAAATCATAAATAAAGCAAATCATACAGTGTTTTTCTTCACCATTTGTAATGAAATTAATTAATTATTTAGAAGAATTCGACGAGTGTTTGCATATCATTATTTAAAAAAAAAATCCTGTAATTTCAATATCATAATCATAAATGAATTAATATAATTTAAACATATGTATTTTATGGTCTGACTGTTTTATAAATAATACAAATAAATATGTTTTTAAGTTTATGTGGCGCGTGCTTTAAAAAATACTATAAATCTGTGTCAATAAAATTGTTGTTTCCTCAAAATTGTAGAAATTAGAAAACTATTTAAACTAGTTTATAGAAAATTTAAAGAAAAATCATTACTTTTTCAATGATAATTAATTTGTTATTTATAACATATTTGCCGACAAAATTTAAAGTTACATTATTCATAAATAAAATTAAATTATATTTACTGTTCAAGATTACTGGTGAAATTATATTTTCAAACCAGTTTTTGTTTTCATTTCCAGATGCAAGATCTGTCAATGATAATACAAAATATATGCAGCTTGGTTCCTGGTGGAATTGTTTGCTTTTTTCCGTCTTACGAGTATGAGCAACAAGTATACGATTCTTTTAAGAAAAATCAAACAATAGACAATATTGTGAAAAGAAAATTAATTTTCCGTGAACCTAAAAAATCTGGTGAAGTAGATAGTATTTTACAAAACTATAGCAAATGTATTAAACAGGCTAAAAATAAAAAATCCAACATAACCGGTGCCTTAATGTTGGGCGTTGTAGGCGGTAAGATTAGTGAGGGTTTGAACTTCAGCGACGATTTAGGTCGTTGCGTTATTGTTGTAGGTGTTCCTTATCCTAATAAGACTAGTTTAGAATTGAAAGAAAAAATATCATTTTTAAATACTCATTTCAAAAATAAAGCTGGTGATATATATTATGAAAATTTGTGTTTCAAAGCCGTCAATCAGTGCATCGGCAGAGCCATTAGGCACATAAACGATTACGCGGCTATTGTTTTGGTTGACGAACGCTATGCTCAACCAACTAATTATAAGAAACTATCTAATTGGATACAAAGTTCCTTAAAAATGCCTTCAAATTTCGGTCAAACGTTCGCTCTCTTAAGAAACTTCTTCAACCAGAAGAAATGTGATAATTAGATATATTCTAATGTAGGTCATAATAAAGTAAAGTATAATATTTTGAATCTCTTTATGATTTCAATAACTATTTTGATAATTTATTATATAAGAGATTTGAACTTCTAATCAGTATTATTTGTGATCAGTGGCGTCGGAACCGTGTGGGCTGCAATCTCGAAATATTATATGAGAAATATTAAAAAAAAAGCGAACCTGCCGGCTGCCTATAAAAAAAAAGCGAGCTCACCCATCAAAAATTTGCTTCTGACGCCACTGCTTGTGATGTATAATAAGGAAGGTTAAATTTGCTATGAAATTGATTATAATAATATTTTTTTTTGATTTTTTTTTTTCAATATTGTTAATATTGATTTTGAATCTCATGCAAATATATAGCAATATATTTTAAATAAATTTCCTATGTATTTTATACGTTTAAGTATCATAATTTAAAAAATAATAATTTTAATACTAAACCAACTATACCATTTTGTATTTTTAAATATTTGATTGTTTAACAACTACTACTAATAATATTATTTTTGAATCTCATTATATATATTTAGTGCAATATATTTTGAATGAACTACCTATGTATTTTACAAGTATGAATATCATAATTGAAAATAATATTATTAGAATTATTGAAAAATAATTTTAATACTAAACCAGTAATTATACCATCTTGTATTTTTGAATATTTATTTTAATTCGTTTTTTTTTTTCAAAATTGCTACAACTACTACTAATAACAATATTAATTGTGAATCTTATTGTCATGCATATTTAGTGCAATATATTTTGTGAATTAATTAAGTATGAATATAATAATTTAACATAATTGGGTTAATACTACCAACTATCCTGAATTTTCAAATATTAATTTTAAATAGTTATTTTTCAAATTATATAAGTGATATTGAATATATTGTATAGTTAGTGAATACATTTAATAGCATAATTAATAACATTTAAACACTCCATGCAGGAATCTAGTTTTTGTGATAATAATTGCAATGCAATGCATAATATTTTGAACAAACTTCGTATGTATAATCAATAGTATATAAACATTCTATGTAGGAATTTAGTTTTTGAGATAACAATTATTTACAATGGTATTAATTAATTCAATAAATTATATTCTCACGTTCGAATTGTATTTTTTTTTCCGTAGGGTAAGTTATAGTAATCGTCTAAAAATCGAAAGGAAAATTTTTGAATATATTTACGTTTCGGAGTTTCTGAACATTTTGCCATACCTTAGATGTGTGTGTATGTATGTGTGGATACAATTTTCCAATTGAAGTTTGGGAGAACGGAAGATTCAATTTGAATGATTCAAAAAACATTTTATTTGTTTGACGAAGTGAAATACTGATTTTTGAAAAGGCAGGTCTAACGGCGGTTTTGGAGATCCAATACAACAAAGTACAAAAAAAGCCAATTGGCGGTTAAAAATGATCACTGGACATACTTACATCTAATTAGATATTTAATAAAACTTTTAATATTGAGTACAAATTTTTGTTTACATTTCTATGAGTTTCGTACCTATGTTATCCATTAGACTGCGATGCAGCGTTTATGCGCTTCGATATTTTTATCTATAACAGTTACGCAGCGTGATTAGTTTTGAAGAGAATTCCAAAATTTTTTAAATAAAAGAAATCAAAATTTTTAGAAATTTAAAAACATACAAAATCTCTAATATTTTTCAGTTTTCAAAAAAGTTTAGACCTTTTTAACAATGGTTCTTAAGGTACGATGCCTTGTACCACTAGTTCTATAGTATTTGCTTTCAAATTTTCAGCTGAATTTAGTAAAATTCAGCACATTTTCAGGGATTGTTTTAAATTAGAACTGAAATCAATGATATAGTTTAACGGGATTTACTAAAATATGTCGCTAATACAATAATATGATTTTTGATAAGCATCTATATAATTTTAGTATTCGAATTGATCCCTAACGTTTGAAATAAATAGGTGAGTTGCAGCCAATGAAAACAAATCGGGCGCGTCGCTCATGTCAGGCGCCGTCAGCGGAGGGAGCAGGGTGCCAGCCTGTCATAATCATCAGCAGCATAGGGGAGGGAGCAGCGAGAGAGCGAGACGGACGTACCGCCATGTTTGTCTTGCGCGAGTCGCGTGCGCGTCAGACTCACGTCTATTTATCAACCAGAATAACGAATTTGCCGGCACGTACCACGCAAGTGTGTGTATAGTGAAGTGAGTGTGTGAACCAGGAAATCCTTAGGGGTTATAGACGGTTAATTTAGGCAGTGTCATTAGATATAAGTTATAATGAATCCATCGAAAAGTGCAATGTGACGATGAGCAAATTGTATGTCGGTAACCTCCCGATTGACTCTGGCGAATCCGCTTTGCGACAACTCTTTCGGATCACAATCTTTCATGTTCTGAAGTGTTGGTCAAACGTGGAGGATATGCATTTGTCGATTGTCCAGATCAATCTCTGCAGATAGAGCTATTGATAAATTGAACGGTGAGTTAATATTGTAAAAATTGTAGATTTTGTGACATCTTTTGATAGTAGATTGTTTTTCAAACATGGCGCCGACGTTTGATTAAGCACGAGGGCTGTCATAATTTTTGTATACAATTACTACTTTTGAAAGTGCATGTGGCTGAATAAACCTACAATTAATGTATATGAAATAGTATAGTTTACAATTGTTATGTTCTGTCATTTCCAATCGAATCAAACTATTACAAATGTCATCACGTTTGCTTGTCGTATAGTAAACTAATTCAATAATAATTTATAAAAATTTCTTTTTATTTATTATCTCAAAATAGATGGCACAGTTCAATATGTTACCTAATTTCTATTTTTAGTTAACTGTTAAATATTCGTATAAAGTAAATTGTTTGTTTAGCACGAATTTCTTGACGTATGTACAATGTCATTTCTTTTGTATTGCCAAAAGTGTGTTGGGCCCAGGCTTACCAACCGCATAGCTAGAGAAGCCTAAAATTTGTGTTCAATATAAATATTATGCTGATTATTTATAATAACATATATTTATACTTCAATCTATTAATACTAATTTTCTGGTATTTGTGCATATTACATTAGGCCATTGTAATATTAATTGATTTGTGATAATGAGCTCATTTATTAACCCTTGATATGTTATCTTGTATAGCGTATAACGCAATACTACGTCTTCTCAAAATTGTTATTGCTCACAACAGTTATATATTCAAACATTTATATATGGAAAACCACAAATAGTTTTTAATCTAAAATGCCTTTATGCATTAAAATTTTTCTTACTCCCTACATTAATTATATGAAATATTCATGCTTATGTTTTGCTAATCTTGATCTTTGATTTACATTTTAAACTAGTGTTTCTGGCATCGTGACGCTTAACTCGAAATTTAAATTTTTTGAAAATTTGGAAAAATTGACCTTTGAGAATCTTAAATTTTTTGAAAAAAAGGCTTGAAAAATTCTAATTTTAAGAGCTAACGAATAAACATTGGCAAGAACCCCTAGAAAACGTGAACAAAATTTGTACTTATTGTTAAAATCTCTAAAAAAATATCTGTCAATTTCATGTGCAAATGCTAATGATCGTTTGATGTTTTCACCGCCAAATGTTTTTTTTTTCATTTTTTTCAATTGATCTCCGAGACTGCTAAACCAGCCTTCCCAAAAATTTAAACCAATACAAGTTAAATGTTAAATTATTGAAATCGTACGTTCCGTTCTCTCAAAAACTGAATTACCATTCTTGGCACTTTTTGCCTCGTATCTTCGGAACGGCTGAACCTGCCTTGCCTAATCAACTAATCAGCAATCCTTCTTATCAATAGGAATTGAATGCTTTTTCGAATCATTCAAATCGGTTTCAAGTTAAATGTTAAATTATTGAAATCGTACGTTCCATTCTCTCAAAAACTGAATTACCATTCTTGGCACTTTTTGCCTCGTATCTTCGGAACGGCTGAACCTGCCTTGCCTAATCAACTAATCAGCAATCCTTCTTATCAATAGGAATTGAATGCTTTTTCGAATCATTCAAATCGGTTTCAAGTTAAATGTTAAATTATTGAAATCGTACGTTCCATTCTCTCAAAAACTGAATTACCATTCTTGGCACTTTTTGCCTTGTATCTTCGAAACGGCTGAACCTGCCTTGGCCTAATCAACTAATCAGCAATCCTTCTAATCAATAGGAATTGAATGCTTTTTCGAATCATTCAAATCGGTTGCAAGTTAAATGTTAAACTAGTTGGTTTGGTATTTAGCCTTGAGGCAAGTTACATGAACTTCCCGATATGTGTAAATAATCGACTTAATAAAAAAAAGTGTAAATAATATTCCTTATCAATCCTACTTTGAAAAAAACGATAATAATTTTAGCAAACTTTGACGAATTTGTAAAATTAAACTACTTGTCGTAAGGCCATAATATTACAGTAAGTTCTATAAGACCATAATGTATATCGCCAAAAAAAGTGCCATGAAAATCGGCTTAAATTTTTTTTCAACAGTTAATTACAAGAAAACGGCTCGGTAGATTTTCACCTAAATTAATCAGTATCATTCCCAACTAATATCTTTCGAACAGTTTTTTGATTTTTTAAAATCGGTTCGGTAGGATGAGCTTAAATGTCGACGAAAATTTAACACTTTTTTTCAACAGTTAATTACAAGAAAACGGCTCGGTAGATTTCACCTAAATTAATCAGTATCATTCCCACTAATATCTTTCGAACAGTTTTGATTTTTTAAAATCGGTTCGGTAGGATGAGCTTAAATGTCGACGAAAATTTAACACTTTTTTTCAACAGTTAATTACAAGAAACGGCTCGGTAGATTTTCACCACCTAAAATTAATCAGTATCATTCCCAACTAATATCTTTCGAACAGTTTTTGATTTTTCAAAATCGGTTCGGTAGGATGAGCTTAAATGTGGACGAAAATTTAACACTTTTTTTCAACAGTTAATTACAAGAAAACGGCTCGGTAGATTTTCACCTAAAATTTATCAGTATCATTCCCAACTAATATCTTTCGAACAGTTTTTGATTTTTTAAAATCGGTTCGGTAGGATAAGCTTAAATGTGTACGAAAAGTTTTTTCGAATTACAAAGAACGGCTTGTCAGATCGTTGCACAAAACTGACAAACGATAGTCCTCATCGAAATACATCAAATGGCTTTTAAATTTCTAAAATTGGTTCAGGCGTTTTTGAGAAAACGTCGATCAAAAGTCTAATTTTGACAAATGGCAAAAAGACCATACTGATTTTTGCAAACTTTGACGAATTTTTAAAGCTGAACCAGTTGTCGTAGGGCCGTAATATTTTAGTATGATCTAGAAGACTATTGTATCTACGTCAAAAAAATAATCATAAAAATCGTCGAAATTTTTTTTTTTTAAAAACTTTATTACAAGAAAACGGCCCGGCCGATCTCTACCAAAAACTAATCAGCACGATTCCCAATCATTATCTTTCGAACGGTTTTTGAATTTTCAAAATCGATTCAGAATTGCGGGCTAAAACGTAGACGAAAAATTTTTCACTTTTCTGCTATTTACGAAGAAACGGCTTGGCCGATCGTCGCACAAAACTGACAAACAATGTCCTCGTCGAGATACATCGAATGGCTTTTAAATTTTTGGAATCGGTCCAGCCGTTTTGAGAAAACGTCGATTTACGGCAAAAAATCTGTTCACATACACACACACACAACCACACACACACCACACACACACACACACACATACTTTTTCCAAATTTGGTCTCAATCGATTCAGAATGGCTTGAAACGTCGAGAAAACATAAATTAGCGGATCGGGTTTTTTGATGAAAACATAAACTTCTCCTTCGGGAAGTTAATTATTGAAATCGTACGTTCCATTCTCTCAAAAACTGAATAACCATTCTTGGCACTTTTTGTCTCGTATCTCGAAAACGGCTGTACCTGCCTTGTACACCCATGATCCTGGTCGATGCTTACTTATGACATGTTTTCATCAATTCCACTGTATATACATATTTTTTGTGTATAGAAAAGTACTAATACATAATTATATTTTTGATAAAAATCGTGAGTTGTTTCAATTAATAAATAATAATGTAATACCTAAGTTCAAACTGTAATTCCACAACTTTTCTCACTTAATCATGTGAACTTTTTATGCTTTATCGCTAGATGATTGTATTAGAACAAAATTATTCCAGCACCTTTATCCTTATGTTAACCAAGTCAACGAACCACGGTACTGTCGCATATAATTGCCTCTGTTGATTATGAAGGTCATTGTGTTTTGGCCGTTTTATGTCAGGCATGTGATATTTTTTAACACCAATGTTCATAAATCTACAAATGTATTTAGTTTCCAGCAATCGTGCACGTTTAAATGAAGGAATAATCTACTGTAAGAAACGATACAAATTTAAAGCTAGTATTTTTATTATGCTGTGATTTAAAAAACGAATTAACTTTCGTTTATTTTCTGTGATGTTGTTACATTTACACTCTCCTTTTCAGGCATAAGTTTATATGGGCAGCATATTAGTAGTAGAGCCTTCGGTAGCTACCTCGTCTTCTGGGAAGAAACGGTAAGTTTAAATTTATATAATATATAATTCTATAGCGTGATTGCTCTGTTGACACAATTTATTATCATTGATAATAAACGTACAATGAATGAGAACCGACGATTTTCGAATACTTAATTCGTTTACCGAAGGTAGCACATATAATTTTATTCATCCGAAATTTCCAGCATAAATGTTTGGTAACCTGATATTTTGGGTATTTTTTGGTTTCTTTAGACATGCATATATTGATATAAATCCTGAGAATAATATATTGTTCTAGCGGTTCGGGCGGAAATCTTCCAGATTCGCCCTCGGAGCAATTAGGCAATGGTTGGAGGTAGGTATTCTGCTCGTCGATTAGTTGCATATTTTATTTTAATTTTATTGTTTATAGGCTCGGATTTAGTAGCAATTATTTCTGTAGGCAACACTTAATATAAAGTATAATTATTCATTATAGACGGTATATTTAGTTTGTTATACTTATATTAACCTACTGTACTTTTATATTTAGGTTACATCTATCTTACACTATCTATCCACTATCATGGTTAAGTGTTCTACTTTGTGGCCAAAATGTACTTATTTCGATGCCCCTCTGTAATATTCAAAAATGCGTATTTTTTGTTGTAAAAATTTAGATAAAAAATATGTTTTTTATTAAAAATTGAATTTGACAATGCAGTGTGAATGCCAATTGAAATCTCGCACTAAATTGATTCGAGTTGATGTTCAACTGTGCTCACAAGCCATCTTTATCATTCCGCACATCAAATAAAAATCTAAATTTCATTCTTCGTTTTTCCTGCATATTAAATATTAGATGAATTTTGGAAAAACAATATTATAGACGTTATGTTACACATGTATGACGGTTATAAATTTATTATTATTATATATATATATATATATATATTTATATAATTATGTTTGTATGTATATGCATCTATGGATTTATGTGTTTATATACTATTTGAGATAGTCTCAAGTTTTTGCTGAACACACGCTAGTGCATAGTAATTTCGCAGACACACCACACAATTGTTAAGTCAAGGAGTGATAACTAGGAGTCAGGTATCATAGAAATGTGTTTGTTTTACTTTTTTTATATAGTCCATGATGTTTCAAAAAATGTTAGCAACTTTTGAAGTTACGGATTCACAACGGACGACTATCCGTTGCGCTAGTATAAATAACTTATTTATATTCCTATCATAACCTCCTGATTGGCAGTATTTATTTTGTCTAATCATTCATTATTAGTGTTTAATTTAATTCTATTATTATGTCTATTATGATCTAAATATCATATCACTTGTAACATAGTACTATTATTTGTCTCATATGCGATTTTTCTCTTCATTGATTGATACTAGGTTTATATAGTAAAGATTGATGTGATAAAACATTATTTACAATTATGTTAATTTTTAGAGAATCAATGTCTTTCTTCAATATTCAGTGCATATATCTGAACCTTAAGGGCCTTAAGGTTTTCGTAATATTTCTATATGTGCAACATATTATTTCATTGGCATTTAAATATACACGAAATATTTTTTTCACCCTATCGAAGGTTTTACTCATAACAACGTGGAATCGTCGAATAAAATAAAATAATTATCAATATTAATATATTATTTGTGGCTATATGCTTTAGCACTTTGTATACTTTGTTCGGTTCTGTAAATTATTCATTAATCATTTTATTAACATTTAAGTAAAATAATGTAGTATCTGCTTGTATTTATATACATGATGCACACTTATAACAACCTTCATTTCTATCAGCATTTGTTCAGTCGTACTGATAGGGAATGATAAGATCCAATATCCCTGACTCATAAGAATCGTTTGATAACAACTAACTACTGTTATATAATTAACGACATAAGTTTTGGAAAATTATTTACTATGTGATTTATTAGTAACCCTTCAAAAATCGAAAATGAGAAATTTTGCATATCTTCACGTTTTAAATGTTTCTGAACACTTTGGCATACCGTAGTAAAAAAATAGATGAATAGAATAGATCAATCGATTTGAATGGGTCAAAAAACATTTGATTCCTGATGGGTGGTGGTTAGTTTTTGGTAAAGATCGGTCCGGCCGTATTGGAGATACGGAGCAAAGAGTACAAAAAATAAAATTGAGTTTTTGGGAGTACAGAGAATCCTATCTAAATCAAAAAACATTTTTCAATTAATAACGGAATGAAGAATTTATTAAATTTTTGAATGGCGAGTCTAGCGGTGTCCGGGTTACAGGAAAGAAAGTTAAAAATTGATATTTGGCGGTAAAAATCATTAGACGTATGCACAACAAGCTATAAGATATTTTAATAATAAGTAAAAAATTTGTTCACACTTCTATAGGTTCCGTACTAAGTTTTACACTTATTAACATACGAATACCTTATGATTGGAGTTTTCCTTGACGTTAGTAACTGTGATATGTATTTCTGCTAAGAACTGTTCTTGACAATGATTACCCCGGTCGACACGGCTGCAATTTATCAATAAAGAAATCGGCACGCGTTCTTTCGCGGATATAAAGGAGCGACCCGTGTTTTCTGACAAAGTAAGCCGAGCACGATTATGATTAACAAATGATCTCACATGCCGCCCCTTGGTTATTCCACATCTTATTACAACTGCTCATTGCATGTGCTGTTGCGGGACTGGAAAATCGATATCGTGAAAAATCCAGAACTAATCTACATAAGGTTTCCAAAAACAAATCTGTTCTATGGTAAATAAATATTTTGGTGACTATTTAAGACTCGACTAAGCCATGAGTTGAATCAAAACTCTAACCTTTTTATTTACTAATGGGGGCAAGATGTTAAATTCATTCAGTATCGAATTGTACTCAAAAAGCTGCTTTACTGATATGTTTTGTGTTTTAAATATAGATATTTCTGAAAGTTTTGTTAAATTTTTTCTATCGTATTGTTATTAGGTGAAGGTGCCAAATAATCAATTCATACTCAAGCTTGGAACGTAAAGTACATGCTAATTAATATCTGATTTGTTTTAAATTCTAAATAGTTTGTCGTATTATTATTATTGCTAAGGTGAGGTTGCCAAATAATCAATTCATACTCAAGCTTGGAACGTAAAGTACAAACTAATTAATATCTGATTTGTTTTAAATTCTAAATAGTTTGTCTGTTGTTAAAACAAATTCTTATAGTTTCTTAATATGATCTGTAACGACTTGTGACTAGTGCAAATTTTAGCTATATGGTTAGCTAAACTTGGAACTAGGGATAGCTAAAACTAGTGTCGGAGTATTAAGACAAATATTTTGTCACAATTCAGTGACATTATATTGCTAATTCAGCAATATTATTTTAAGTTTTTTCTATTTGCTTGAACAGCCATCAGATCTTAAGGATTCTATGAGCTGTTGTAAATCACAAACTCACAAACTACGTCGGTTTTTATAGATAGAAACCCAAGCTGTTATCCCATCTCTAGGTGATGAATTTTGCACTAGGCCACCAGGCAACCGAGCAATTTATGACCAAATGACCAATAAATGTCCAGTTGTAAAAATTTTCGGTGTCTCAGGCGATCATTTAGTATAACACCAGGAAAAATAATCACAAAAATTGGAACTAACATTATTGAAAAATAAAACAATAAATTAAGTAAAAAAAATTATTATGTTTTATTTTTCAATAATGTTTGTTTCAATTTTTGTGATCGTTTTTCCTGGTGTTATACTAGATAAATATTTTTAAAAAATTACTGAATGATGACACACGGGCCGTGTCGAAACGTATAAATAAATAGTTCATTATTTATTGTTCTTTGAATAAATATTATTCATGCTTATTTGTATGGTTACTTGTAATATCTGAATATATATTTTGCAATAGTGCACTTTTCAAGTAATTTTAGATTAGTTTATTATTATGCTTATTTTTATTCTTAAACTATTTCAAATGGTTTACTTAGATACAAATTATTATTCTTGACTGTATAATCAACTGAATAAAAGCAAGAATGTTTGCAATTTTTAAATATAAACAAATATTAAATATTATGGGCAAATAAATATAGAATTTCACCTACATATTTTTACCTACGTGATTTTGAAAATATATTTTTGTATTTTATGAAAAAAGGTATCGTTTCGATTCATTTTATGACTATGGTCTCATAAAATTGGCAAAATATTCAGGTAAAATCTGGTTGCTCCGATGTCCGTCCAGAACTGCGAACATCATTTTAGTCGCCAGAACTATTAATTTTTATCATTTTACTACGGATCTTCATAAAAATCTTCAAGTCGGGTGCTAATGATTCTTTTGTACTGTTAATTTTTTTTATAATGCTTGTTGAAACATATAATAGGCGATGTCTTGCGAATTCGAAAATATTGCTCATGACATCATGTTTCATCTCTATTTTGTATCTGCCTCTTGCTAATAATAAATCTTCCGATTGCTTCGATAATAAACTTCCTAATGGATGGGTATCTTAATACGGATAAATTGATGCAACAATTGTTTGCAACCGTTGTTTTCGCCATTTACTACGAGCGATTTTTGTACATTTCTCTTGACCTTAAATTGATATTTTCTTTCATTTTATATTAAGATCATGTTTCTGAGGAAATACTTAAAATTCTAAATAAATGTATTTTATTATCAAGTATCGAAATTACTTATAATGCATATATGGGAGTATAAATCTATTTTATTTCGAATAATCAAAAACATGTTTGATCATTTTATATAAAAAAATTAAAAGTTGCATAATTTGGTTTGGATGTAAAAAGTATTATGCTCTTCCAGTTAAACTGTAACGCTCGAAGTCGCGTGCGTCGCGCGGGACCCGAGTCTTATCCTTACCCTCCGCGTCTTCATATTTTATAGTAAGGTGACTACACTCGTTCAGTGACTTGTGACAGATGTTTTTTGCAAGATAACATGATGTTACGTTTGCCTTTGAACCGACTCTCTGTACATTTATATGACTTGCATTAGAATTTAAGCGTTTTTTTATATTA